CAAAAAGAAAAAGAAAATTTGCAAAATTTTTTTGCGTTATTAGAATTGCATGATAAGCGTAGCTCCTAAAAAATTTCGACCGAAAGATTTAAAAACTAGAATCTTAGAGCTTCAAAATGGTTTTTTTAATTCCCGATACGAGCATTTTTCACCTAAATACAGTCTGTCAAAAATCACGGAAAAATTTCGGAAATTCTTTTGACCCTTTAATTGTTTGCATCAGTGTATTCATTATTAAATGAATAGGTTATTTTTTGAGGAACTAAAAAATTAAAAATACTACAAGGCAAGATAACGTAGGAATTATTTTTTCTGTTAAAAATCCGTTTTATCGGCATATTGATTTTTCCACGAAGTAATTTTATTTGCTTAATGATTCAGAATGAAATAATACATTGGATTTACGTTTGGCATCGAAAAATGACAAAGGGTTTCTAACGGTACATCAGTTATATCATTATACGAATGTTTTTCTTTAATCACCCCGTTATTGTGTAAAATTTGCCCAGCTGCTGGAAATAGCATCAAAATACGTAATTATTGTAAAATAGGGGATTAATTTTACGTAAAAGGGTAAAATTTTTGACACAAGGGGTAGTCTGATGACAAACATCCCTCGAATACAACAGGTCAAATACGACTGGTTTTAATCTTTTTCCAGATTTGTGTAAAACGGACACGTGCGCACAAAGCTTTTGTGTTGTAAGTCCTTTTATAAAATTCTGTCATTCCACAAATAAATCCCTTGCATTAAAAACTCGATCTTTTGTGAAATCCTTCAAAATTGTTGCCGTATAAATTGAATTTTACCCGGCACACGACATTAGGGTGATATTTCACAAACAAACGCAAAATAAAGACAATTTTAAAGCAAACGGGGTAAAATCGTAAATGCGACAGCTGTTACAGCCCCGCTATATTTTCCCAAATATTTAATCCTTATAATACATGACAACTAACGGTAAATTGATTTGACAAATTAATAATTTATTCATTTCAATAAACGACTATAAAAGAAAAAATCAATTGTTCATAACTGATTCAATCACCTACATTATTTTGAAAATTTTTACTTTATATTTAAAACTTTAAAAAGTATAATGAGATCTTCAGCGTATTATAGACCAAGCAAATTAAATTTTTCGAAAAAAGTCCTATCCGCTAGATTATTGTAAAATTGTCTAAAGGAACATAATACAAGACATCTCTCGCCTCGTGAGTCAAAAACTTTTATTAGCTAACTTTTCTATTTAAACAAATAAGTGAGGAAAACACTACGATTATTTTTAAAAAAATTCTTATCTTGGCTCCTGTTGATCGTAGAGGGTACTTTTTTTAATTTTAAAACTGTATTTTTTTGCCAGCTATCCATTGCATCCATTTTCGGTGAGATAGCATAAATAGCAACAATGTTATTCAAATTGTTTATAAGCGAAAAACGCACGGTTTTTTAATGCACAATTTGAGAATGTTAATGTCAAAAAAACGGTGATATTTTTTAATAGGTCGCTTAATTGCGTCTTTAAGATTACAATGACGCTTTCAGAATCATGTTTGATTGAAAATTAACGTCTGTACAGAGACTTAAAGTTCATGACTTTTGGAGCCTCCGCTATAAACAAATAGAATTGTGCGAAAACTATTGCACCTACAGCGCCCACTTTTGGCACACTTTTAAAGTATGACAAAACCCTCAACTTGTCATAGGTTTTATAAAATTTTAACAATAAATGCGATAGTTATAAACAAATGAAAAAATGTGCACTTTTCTTGTCTTTTTGCAATAACTTTTTTGTTTATTAACCGATTTTAATTTAACCAGTCTCATTTTGTAGATAATTTTACTCCCTATAAGCTGTCTGGGAGTCACTTTTCGCTAAAATTAATGGTTTTCCCTGCAAAGTGAAAAAACTGTTTTCCTCACTTATTTGTTTAAATAGAAAAGTTAGCTAATAAAAGTTTTTGACTCACGAGACAAAAGATGTCTTGTATTATGTTCCTTTAGACAATTTTACAATAATCTAGCGGATAGGACTTTTTTCGAGTTTCTCTTTTATTTTCGCTAATTTTCCTGGTGTAATTAGTAAGAAGGTACATAATTGAAACCTAACTAGGTACTAAAACTGTTATAAATAAAATTCGACACAATAAGGTATTACATATATCACTGGAAATTAAACCTGGATTTTGGAGTTGCTGTCGTAGCGTCAAAACAATAATTTAAAAAAAAACTTACCAAAAACACTTTCGTTTACAACGAACATTTTCTACCTTCAACAAATGTTAGCATTCATTCGGTCACACACAAATACGTTTTATGTCAAAAAATAATGCTAGCATAATCTTGGAAAATTAAGAAAGAAAAGAATAGTTAAAAATCAAGTATTGCCAATTTAAAACTTCAAAATTAACCTACTGAAGTATATTTTTATGCTAAGGTGAATTTAAATACTGCATATTTACTGGCAAATAGTATAAAAATAAAATTAACATATTTTTTACATGTTTATAATATAACATAATCAGTATAAAGTTAAAAAAGAAACTAGAAATAAAGTCTGGATTTTGGGATTGGAGACATATATACCTACCGTGATTAAAGTCAAAACCATAATTTAACCCTAGATTTACACCTGATTTATCCTTTAGTACACCAGTAGGAATTTATTTTCTTCGTTTAATAAATATTAACACTCACAATAAAGAAAATATTGAAATGCAAATAAAAAGGAAAGTTAAAAATTCTGTACTGCCATCTTAAAACTACGAAACTAGGCTACAGTGGCCTTAAAGGTTTTTTTAAATCTTATATTATGACAAAAACTGGAAACAATGGCTAACTGGATTATAATGGCAAGAAAATCATATAAACAACATTAATTTTTTACGAAAAAACATTTTAGTATTGAAAACGTTAACTCAACTGTGAACTGGAAAGGAACAAAATAGTTCAAAATAGTTATTCTTCCAACTACCTAATTTTAAAAATAATATAATATTTTGTATAAATACACGAATACAAATAAGAACTGTATTTTCAACATAATTATATGAATTTTTAAATTATTATATCTAGTGAGTAGGCAGGTATATTTTTTTCCTATATTTTCTTATAAGCGTACATGCAGGTTTCGGCTTGTACGCTAAACAACCATAAACCCAGGGAAGACAAAAAATGGAAATGGTTATATAGTACCTATTACGTGAATGATGGCCATTTCCACCAATTTTCAATTAGGCAAAGAAAAAAATTGCTTAGTTATGGAACGAATAAGATCTCCAACAATAAAAATTCGTAAGTGGGAAACGAAAGACGCTTGCAACAGGGCAAATTTTAAATTGTTTTCTTATGAATGCCCTGGAAGGGCTATTTAGCGTACTTAAGTCATTATTTCCCTAGCATTAAGAAATATCTAAAACAGTTGGTGGAAACGAGCATGAATCATTTTTTTAAACTAATAAATTTAATAAACTAAAATGATAGTTCAGCATTGAAGATATAAGTACCTAGACAGAAGCACAAAAACTGGAGAGAAAATCTGGACTTTGGGGCTGCAGCGCCAAAATTATAATTTAAAAATGAAAAAGGCTTACCACATTCCTTCTTGTTTTTCAACAGGAACCAGTTTTCTGCAAATATTAGCACACACTCAACACAAAATATTTTATGTTTACTTAGATAATCTTTGAAATTCAAGAAACAAACGAAGTAAGAATTCGGTACTGCCAACATAAGATATCCAAATTAGCTTAGCCTACTGTGTCTTCCTCACAGGGATACCTACCTATGTTTTTTAATCTTAAATTCAGATTAAAAATAGGATATGTTGATAAATACTATGCTAGGTAAATAGGATATAGGAATTGTATGGACGAATATAGATATACAAAAACCTATACTTGAGTAGAAAGATAGATATAAAATATTTTGTATAAATACAGGAATACAAATAAGAACTTTATTTTCAATATATGAACTTTTAAATTATTATAATTTCTAGTGAGTAGGCAGGTATATTTTTTCCTATATTTTCTTACAAGCGTAGGTTTCGGCTTGTAAGTGGGAAACGAAAGACGCTTGCAACAGGGCAAATATTAAATTGTTTTATCATTAATGCCTTGGAAGGGCTATTTAGCGTACTTAAGTCATTATTTACCTAGCATTAAAAAATATATAAAACAGTTAGTAGAAACGAGCATGAACCATTTTTTTAACTAATAAATTTAATAAACTAAAACAGTGGTTCAGTATTGAAGATATAAGTACCTAAAACTAGACAGAAGCACAAAAACTGGAGAGAAAATCTGGACTTTGGGGCTGCAGCGCCAAAATTATAATTTAAAAATGAAAAAGGCTTACCACATCCCTTCTTGTTTTTCAACAGGAACCAGTTTTCTGCAAATATTAGCACTCACTCAACACAAAATATTTTATGTTTACTTAGATAATCTTTGAAATTCAAGAAACAAACGAAGTAAGAATTCGGTACTGCCAACATAAGATATCCAAATTAGCTTAGCCGACTGTGTCTTCCTCACAGGGATACCTACCTATGTTTTTTAATCATAAATTCAGATTAAAAATAGGATATGTTGATAAATACTATGCTAGGTAAATATGATATAGGAATTGTATGGACGAATATAGATATACAAAAACCGTTATCTAAGTAGATACACAAAAATTATTTATTCATCCTAAAAAGGCAAAACAAAAAATAACATTTGACATTTTAGAACAAATTCAAACTAAAACTAATTACCTATGTATTTTAATATATTTTTTGAGCTGCCTTCCGTTTTCGTGTTAATATTTCCAAAAAAAATAAGAGGTCGCCACTTAAAATAAACTACGTTCTCTTAAATTGTCTGAGCTCTGTGATTGGTCAAAATATGAAACGTGTTGATGACGTCAACAATTATCGAGAATAGAATAATATACAATATACCTATTTTTCTAACATGTAAGAGATAAAAATATGTCATATTATTTGCAGTAATAAAATTGTTGGTTTTAACGTAGTTGTAGTGGCATTTGAAGTTATATAAAATGATAAAATGTACATGGACAACAAATACCCTTTCCATCGTACAAATGGTGGGAACACTGCGTCGTTGTGGACAAAAATATGTTTTTGTTCGACTAAATAGTAACACGACTGGGTGTGTACGAGACTACAAAATTTTCTTTGGATTGCACTAAAAAAAGTGTACAAAATTGTTTGAAGACTATCACTATTAAATTCTATAATGTATATATTTTTTTATTACAAATCGCATCAGCGAAATGGATAATTTTATGGGTGTGACAAAAGTGTTCCTTAGTGGAGAGCTCTTATTTCAACCTCTAGCTGGCAATGGCGAACATAATGCGTTCTACAATATATACGACAAAAAAAAGGCTTATAAGGTGAGTATCATAGTTATATATTTATATTTTTCATTTAAAGGTAAAAGTATGTCAGCAAGCTTCCATTTTGTTGTGCAATTCTGTTTATATATGTTTATAATAATTCTGTGGCAAAAAGGGCCTCAATCTTTTACCTAGAAATGAATGTTTTGTTTACATGTTCTATTAATGGGTAATTACCTCAAGCCATGGTATTATCGCTTAATTACTCGTACTTATACTAGTATTTTATTTTTTACAGATTCCTCTCGATTAGGCGTGGTGCAGTTCAAATGGCTTGACTGGACCTGGAGCGAGCTTCGAAGAGGAGCATTTGTTCTGCTGCAATCATGAAATGACAATTGATAAGTTTCGGGCGTGGCCCCAAGGAAATTTGGTGAAGGTCCACAGGAAGATACTCCTTTGACATACTTAATCTGTAAGTATAACCATTTTTCCCAACATACTTTATGAGTAAAGATAGGATACTTATATTTAGTAATTACAGTAATAAAATTACAAAAAAAATATACACATGACGTTGGCAAAGTCCAGAGTTACATATCACCAGACTGCTTGCTATATAACGTTAACTTATGCGTAATTTTTTTTATAATAAAGAGACACAAAGCATCATGCCTTCATCAACGAAGGCAAATAATGTTCTTTGATATCAAAAACCTAGGTATGTAGAGATATATCTAACCAAGACGCTGCGGGTTGTATGCTGTACTGCGACAGCATTGAATTATAACTAACAATATCTAGTAAACAGCTACTAATTTAATATATTTAGATAATTGTTTATTACTGGTTGTTTACTAGGTATTGCGGGTATAATTCAATGCTAATCGGGGCATGTAACCCACAGAGTTTTGCCTATGAAGTTAGATATCTTTAGCATACTTAGATTTTTGGTATCGAAGAACTTTGCTTGATCTCATCTGATAAGTTTTTTAGGATAATTTTTTTTAATACATTTGAATTAGCTTAACACTTTTAAAGCATTGTGTCTGTTGAGCCATTATGATGAACTTAGTAATATTATGTCATTTTTTAATGTTTAATTTGGCAGTTGACTTTTATTAACTGTCAAGTAGGAGTAACAACTTAACATAGATATTTTTCTTTAATTTTTTTTTGTATTTTAAAGAAATATAGAACAAATTGTAGCAACAAAATTGCGTAATATACAACAATAAATCACTTACCAATGTTATCAAACGATTTATTTTTTGTTATTTATTTATTTATTTAATACACCATTTAACATAAAATATCCAATTACTGAATGGGTGGGAACACAATATGTAATAAAAAAAAGAAAAATGATATATAAATACAAAATTGAATTAAATTGAGACATTGTCATATCATTAACAGATATTGTAACCAATTGTTTTCAGAATTTTTAGATGAATAATTTTATGAGAGAAAAAAATGAAATTTGATTTACAATATTAAAGGATAAAAATGGCTTATATAATTAAGTGCCTAGTATTTTAATATATATGTGCAAAGTAAATAATTTTTATTGTATTTAATCAATTTATGCGCAGCAAAATATTAACAGCTTGAAAATTTTTTTAAATCTAGCATATGAATTATATAACGTAAACATGCATTTTTTAAATAATCCATATTTAAATACATAGTAAAAATAATAGTTTTTATTAATACAAACTGGCATTACTGTTTTATACCAGCAGCACTGATATACTTCGAACTTTACAAAAAATATAAATACAATACAAATAATTTGTTGCGTTAAGATAATGTCTATCATTCGTGATATACAGGGTGTTCCTAAATAAGTGTCGCAATGGAACACTGTAAATTCCTCTTGAAAAAAGATACATTATTTTCCTCTTCCATTTTTCTCTCCGGGCTTTCGTTTTCGAGATACACGGTGTCAAAACTTTCATTTTTTTTTTAATTTTTTGCCAATATCTTAGGAACTGTTTGAACTATAGGACTGAGTTTTTGTACACGCATTACCACTATTAATAGCTACTTTTTCGCACCTTTCTCGAATTCATTGAACGTGCCAGTGGTGGAGATTTTAAGGTATCGTAAGGGTTTTTCCCCCCTAACTTTTACGCCACTGGAAAAATTGACATTTGACAGCAAATTCCGAAGCGCCAATGAATTTTATACAAAAAGAGTTCTCTTGGTTCATTGCTCTAAAGTCAACCGGTTTCAAGAAAAATGAGTTTTTATGAATAAAAACAAATATTTTGCTAACGTTCGAACTTTTGTAATTCAAAAGATAGATAGTAATAATTAACAATTTTAACTAAATTTAACATTTGCAATAAGTAGCTATTAATAGTGGTCATGTGTGTACAAAAGCTCAGTGCTGTAGTTCAAACGGTTCCTGACATCGGCAAAAATCTGAAAAAAAGTTTTGACACCGTGTATCCCCGGTGTAAGACCGGAGAGAAAAATGGAAGAGGAAAAAAAGTTTCTCTTTTCAAGAGGAATTTACAGTTTTCCGTTGCGACACTTATTTAGGAACACCCTATATTTACATATTTTTTTTGTCTTTTATTTAACCGAGTATTTTTGCCACACTGACAGCAAAAAGGAATTTTTAAATAAATACCCTTTTTGTCAAAAGAAGTTGTTGATTCTAAACTTCATTTTCCCTAAACAGAAATATCTAGAGCATTTCACTATACATGTAACACATAACAAGTTGACGTTTTGAAAATTTGTTCAGTTTTCTTTATCAAAACTTTATTATTTTTTTAAATATTTACTGTTTTGAGTTTGGTGTGATGGATCTTGTAGAAATATTTAGAGATTAGACTCTTTTAAACAAACCATTGATGATACATTGGTGGAATCTATTGAACTAAAATTTTGACTAAAAGAACATTGCCGAACTGAAAATGTTTTGTAGATGTCAACTACATATGAGTTACAGTGAAATCTAGCTTTACTGTGAGATATTCTGATTAGGTAAAACTAAATTCATAAAATCGGTCTTGCCATTCTTTTGGCACAAGGGGTTATTTTTTTCTTTTCTAGTTTGGCATAAATATTCCTTTAAATAAAAAAGGACTGTAAAGAATTATTTTTTTCTTTGCAAATGGATCAATTATTATGTTTTGATTTAAAATATTAGAAAATTTGTTTTTGATATGACGTTTTTAACATTTAAACGCAATAATTGAGTAAATTTTATGAAAAATTTTATTTTAATAAATTAACAAAATATTCTCATATTATTATAAACATGGCTACCTGAACGAAAATATTTCTTATTTAAAATGAGAATTGTATTTGAAATGCGGGTGCAACTTTCGGAAACGGAAATCCATTCTAGCAATTTTTCGATTGGATAATGTTTTAACATTGCTCTCCTTTATCAAGTAAACCAAAATTTACGAATATCACCTTTATGCTACGTTAGCAAAAGATTCAGTTGCATGACGTCACAGAGTCATTTAAATTCCTCTCCCTGCTTTGTGTTACGTACGAAATAGCTCGTTGGCGATCCGCGCAGTCAGCTACGCTGTCGATGTAGTCACAAATTCAAAGATGGCTGCAATCAACATTTACGTTCGTTGATAAGAAGCATCGATATTAACTAACTTCACCCTATCTAGTGGAAAATTGTGATAATATAACCTAAAACGGTGTGTTTTAAAGAGAAGTGTACAAAAAACTGTTTAGGTTTTAGTTTTTATTTAAATTTGAAGGTTTTAAATTTCGTTTGTCCGTGTACAGTACAAAATGGCGACTCTTCGTGCTGTTGTTTGGTAATTGATGGAAAAACTTTAATTTATTTGATTTCTATTAAATATATTGCCATTATAACGTTATGATAACGTTGGGGGATGTTTTTTCTATATTATTAAATTTATTTGAAGGTGATAGTTCTCCATAAACGTGTGAAATTTTAGAAAAACTAGCTGTAAAATGCCTGAGGTAAGTTCATCCCTTAAAATATTAATTTAAGGGCTTTTCTGTGGCTACAATTGTTTTTTATTATAATCTGTGGTGTCCTTTAATTGATATTTCAATGTGAACCCAAGGGCGTGGTTCCATGACTTGTAACATATTCTTCACTTTTTCCTTAAATATTTTTGTTTACAAGTGGTTTTTCAGCAATTTTACCCCTTGGCCAGGTGTGTTCCACCGTTTTCTCGATAGATTTGCATTCTTAAGGGTTTTATACACCTAGTAAGCCTAAAATTCTGGATTTTTGAGATGGACCCTTTTTAGCAATTTTGAGCCAAAGTTTGATGTTCACAGCGATAGATCTTTCCGTACACCTCTCTAACAACAAGATCATCATTTTTTATACAGTATTATTTGTTTTCTGTCCAAATATTTAGGTGTAGGAGCATTAGAAGCTTTCAAACACACCCTGCTGTTTTTTACACAAATTTTACATTTTTAATGATGGGTTTACTTATGGGGTAACTTTTTTTGTAACATACAAGGTCTCTAACAGACAAAGAATTGCATATATTCTACACAAATCTTTATATGCCTTCTTAAATAAATATATAGACTGTGTTAAACAAACCACTAGAAGTCAGTCATTAATTGACCCACCCAACCCCCTCGCAATTTTTGTCTTAAAATTAATCGTTTCAAACCTATTTCAAGTAATAAATCAGTCCCAGTTTCATAAAACTTTAATACTAATACAACTTTTCAGGTACATTTGTCTCAAAAAGACATCAATTTATAACTTTTCTACCCCCTAACCTCAAAACTACAGGTATAAATACAAAACATAAATAAAGATGTATTAACAAATCGCATTTGTGTTTTTGTAATTGTTAAAAGGAACACAGAAATCTGTTCTTTGTCATACAACCTTTCAGATTCTGATAGTATAATGTGATTTAAACTTAAAACAACCCCTATTTGGGACGATACTTTATATATGATATATTAAAGTAAACATTGTTTCTCATGGAGAGTGTTGAAACTTGTATTACAAAGTTTTAAATTGTATTAAAAAGGTAATCAAACTACTTTTTCCTTGATTTTACTAAAGATATTTGAAAATATATTCATTCATTACTAAATTTTATGCCTCATGGTTGTAAGTCAAAGTAAATACAAATTAGTCACACAATTATTTATACTACTTGAATATAAACGACTTGTAATGGATCTTATAGATGGGAGAAGGATCAGATACTGAAAATTCGGCCTCAGGATCAGACAATGAGACTAAAAGCGAATCGTCATCCAACAATTCAGGTTCCGAAAGGTAGGTAATTTTTTATTTTTGTGTGCTTGCATTTAATATATATCCATAAACATGTTCTAATTTTTTAAGAAATAAATATTTTTTCAAAATTATATTTTTAAGAAGAAATTACATTTTACGAAAATGTTCAATGCAAAGTTAAGGTTGAAAAACATGGACATAATTTTTTTTTTTAATTTGCCTTATTAAAAAAGCATTAACTTTAATCAGTTTAAGTGTTTTCGTACACTCTTATTTACATATGTATATCACAGATGTATATATACACCTTAGTTTTTGTCTTACCATCTGAGAAAACATAGAAGGTAAATGTTTTCTTTCTTCGTCCAGTGGTTCAGGTTCCTCATCATCAGGTTCTGGCTCTGAAAGTGGTGCAGAACAGGAAAATGTAGAAAATGGTTCCGGAAATGAAGAAAATGAGGAATTAAAAAACGAAGACAGTCAAGACACAAATTTCTCAAATCCAAGTAGTCCAAATACGTCGCCAGATTCCAAACCTAAAAGGTTGTCTGACTCATCAAAGGAGGTAAGTAATAAATTTTGATATTTTCATAACCGTATGAAACGGTATTGTTCATAAAACTTTCATAAAAAGTTAAATCATTTAATTTTTTGTGTAGATTTTATAATTTTATATATATATTGAACCAAAATTGTATATAGTTTCGCAAATATAGAATGTGTTTGCGTAAAATGTAGTTTTATAGTATACATTTTTTGAGATATATATTATACTTGGAAAAAATTAGTATATTACTTATTGTGTATTATTTTTCCTGCATCTTTGAGCACTTGTCAGCTATGTAAAAAAAATTTCAATGTACTGGCCGACATTCTTGCTCTATTGAAAATCAGATATTCATGGTGATTACTTTTCTATTAGCTGGAAAAAAGCCCAGACGACTATAGCATTCGTAGGTCAGCTCGACCAAGAAAAGAACCACAAAGACTGCAAAATAAAGATAGTGAGAAAAATAAGAAAAATGACGAATGGAAGTACAATGATGCAAGTTCCTCGGAATCGGATAATGAACTACGAGGAAAGCCCCCACCGAGCAAAAGGGTGGGGGCAAGGTCACGTGCTACTGTGATAAAGAAGAAACCTGTGAAAAAGACCAGAAATAAATATAGTTCTGAAGAAGAAAGTAGCGATGAAGACACAGATGAGGACAGTCGACGAGCTGTATCTAGAAGATCAGCTGCTACCGTCAGTTACAAAGAAGAAAGTGAAGACGAAAAAACTGATTCTGAAGATCTGCTAGAAGTTGATAATAATGAACCAGTCGAGACAGTGCCTGAAGAAAAGTGTGAAACTATAGAAAGGATTCTAGCACAAAGAAGAGGCAAAAAAGGAGGTGAATATTTTAGCTCTATCATTTATCAAGTGGGATAATTTTAAAACGTACCGTGCTGTAAAATTATATTACCAAATTTTTATTGGAAACTGAAAAAGGGACAGTATTTTTCTATATAAAGGTACTTATTTAGAAAACTTTCAGTGTTATTTTTATAAATATATCAAAAATAAATTTAGAAGTTTAGTAGCTTGAATATTTTTTGAGAATATACTTGATTGTTTTTATAGATTAAAAATTAGATTCTTCAAAAACTTGTCCCAAATTATTATTATTTTTTTTTATAATAGCGTTATTGATGGTAGTTGTCCACAATCTATTAGATGTAATGGAAACTTGCTTATATGCATAAATTGGTTACAGTTACGGGTAATATTACAACAATCTATTACATAGAAGAAAATGGTGACCCTAATGAAGGTGTTGATTCAAATGATATGGAAAGCACCGAGGATCAGTACTTCATCAAATGGAAAGACTGGGCCCATATTCATAATACTTGGGAATCCGACATTTCTCTTCGAGAACAAAAAGTCAAAGGTTTAAAAAAATTGGAGAATTACATTAAAAAAGAAGTTGAAATTCAACAGTGGTTAAAGTATTCCACGCCGGAAGATGTAGAATATTACGAATGCCAACTTGAGTTATCACAAGATCTTTTGAAAAGCTACAATGACGTTGAAAGGATAATAGGTAGGGGTTTCATATTATCTTTGGGTATCAATGATTACAATTCGAATATTATTGCAGCCAAATATGATAAACCTGATGGTGGCACCGATTATTTTATTAAATGGGAGAGTCTTCCATATGCCGATTCAACATGGGAAGACTCCGCCTTGATACAGAGGAAGTGGCCTCATAAAATAAAAGAATTTGAAGATAGGGAGTCCTCGTCAAAGACACCAACGAAGCACTGTAAAGTCTTGAAATGCCGACCTAAGTTTCATGAAGTCAAAACTCAGCCTGAATATATGACTGGTCGTGATAATGTAAGGGTTTTAGTGAAACTGTAGCTGATGTCTCTAATAAAAAAAATTTTAGAATTTAGTTCTGAGGGACTACCAAATCCATGGTTTAAACTGGATGATTCATTCATGGACAAAAGAGAACTCGGTAATCTTAGCTGATGAAATGGGTCTTGGTAAAACGATACAGGTAATAAATAATTCCAGGTAAATATAAAATTGATTTTTTAGATTTTTAATGGATACTATTTTTTGTTCAGACAATATGCTTTCTGTACTATCTCTTCAACACGCACCATTTACGAGGACCGTTCCTGTGTGTAGTGCCCCTTTCAACAATGACTTCATGGCAGCGCGAATTCGCACAGTGGGCACCCGATATGAATTTTGTCACTTACATAGGAGATGTCCAGTCGAGAGACACAGTAATACATATTTTCTTTTTTTTATATAAGATTGCATATTAAGATTTAAAATTTTTAGATTCGTCAGTACGAGTGGTGTTACGAAGGCTCGAAAAGACTGAAATTTAGTGCTATTCTCACTACGTATGAAATCGTGCTTAAAGATAAGGCTTTTCTAGGCAGTCTAAGTTGGGCGGTTCTATTAGTCGACGAAGCACATCGGTAATATTAATAGTTTTTTCAATGTAACGATTATTGTTAAAACTTTACTATTTTTTAGCCTGAAAAATGATGATTCATTATTATACAAGGCTTTGATGGAGTTCGACACCAATCATAGGCTGCTAATTACGGGTACACCTTTACAAAATAGTCTCAAAGAGTTATGGGCACTACTTCATTTCATAATGCCGCAAAAGTATGAATACAATTTAAACAGTTTTTTAAATTTATAATGTATCAATATTTTCTTAGGTTTAACTCTTGGGAAGAATTCGAAAAAGACCATGAAAATGCATCTACAAAGGGTTATGGAAAGTTACATAAACAATTGGAACCATTCATTCTGAGAAGAGTAAAAAAAGATGTGGAGAAGTCCCTTCCTGCTAAAGTTGAACAAATTTTACGAGTGGAAATGACTGCAATACAAAAACAGTACTACAAATGGATTTTAACAAAAAATTACAATGCACTTCGAAGAGGTGTTAAAGGTTCAACAAATACTTTCCTAAATATTGTAATTGAACTTAAAAAGTGCTGCAATCACGCTTTTTTAACAAAACCGACAGAATATGAAAACCAGAATTCTCAACAAGATCACCTTCAAATGTTGTTGCGTGGGTCGGGAAAATTAGTATTATTGGACAAACTTTTAATTAGGCTTCGTGAGACGGGCCATCGAGTTTTGATTTTCTCACAAATGGTCAGAATGTTGGATATCTTGGCAGAATATCTGCAACTGCGACATTTCCCTTTTCAACGACTAGATGGTGGCATTAAAGGTGAACTTAGAAAACAAGCTTTGGATCATTTCAACGCAGATGGGTCTCAAGATTTTTGTTTCCTGCTATCGACACGTGCTGGCGGCCTTGGCATTAACTTAGCAACTGCCGATACCGTTATTATTTTTGACTCTGATTGGAACCCGCAAAACGATCTTCAAGCACAGGCCAGGGCTCATAGAATTGGACAGAAAAATCAAGTGAACATATACAGATTAGTTACTGCAAGGTCGGTTGAAGAAGAAATTGTGGAACGTGCCAAACAAAAAATGGTGTTGGATCATTTGGTTATCCAACGTATGGACACTACTGGAAGAACTGTCTTGGATAAAAAGGGATCTTCCAATAATAATCCGTTCAATAAAGAAGATCTCACTGCTATATTGAAGTTTGGTGCTGAAGAATTATTCAAGGACGAAGACGAAGATGAGGAGCCAAATGTAAGTTCACTAGAAACTTAAAAGTTAAAATGAATTTATATCTGTGTTTTTATAGTGTGATATTGACGAAATTTTACGGCGGGCTGAAACGAGAGATGATGCCCCAGCTATGGTTGGTGATGAACTTCTTTCTGCTTTCAAAGTAGCAAGTTTTGCGGCATTTGATGAAGATGCTGAACCTTCGCCTACAGATAATGCAGGGGATGAAGAAAGTAAAGATTGGGATGAAATCATTCCAGAAAAACTCAGGAAGAAAGTAGAGGAAGAAGAAAGGAATAAAGAAATGGAAGATTTGTATCTTCCACCAAGGAGTCGAAAAACATTGCAACAAATTAATCAATCAGAAAGTGATGGTGAAGATGGTAAGGGGAGGAAAAAAAGGAAAAAAGATGGAGATGAATCCGGCGGGTCCAGTGGAGAAGCTGAAGACACCGATGATGAACGACCAAGAAAACGTGGAAGACCACCTGCTGGTAACAGGGAGAAAATTAAGAATTTCAGTGATGCTGAGGTGATTAATAAATTCGGTACTAGTTTTTATAATAATATTGGTTTATTTTTAGATTCGACGGTTCATCAAAAGCTATAAAAAGTTCAGTGCACCACTTAAGAGATTAGAAGATATAGCCTGTGATGCTGAACTGCAAGAAAAACCACTCTCAGAATTAAAAAAATTGGGTGAACTGTTACAAGAAAGGTGCCGAGCATTCATGAATGAACAAACCAAAGAAAACACGGAGTCCAATAACCAAGATGAAAATAAGGGGAAGAAGAGACTAAGGGGTCCATCATTCAAACTGGGTGGTGTATCCGTCAATGCAAAAACTATGATGGCATGCGAAGAGGAGTTACAACCTCTTGATGAAGTCTTACCTGTAGATGCCGAAGAACGAAGTCGTTGGATGTTTGACGGTAAAACTAAAACTGCCCATTTTGATGTAGAATGGGGAGCAGAGGAAGACACAAAAATACTAAAAGGTATTTATACGTATGGTTTGGGATCTTGGGAACAAATAAAACTTGATCCGACACTGGGAATTGGTGATAAAATATTATTAAATGAAGATAAAAAACCTCAAGCGAAACATCTACAGTCTAGGGCGGAATACTTGCTCCGAATATTGAAGAAGCAGTTAGATCAGAAGAAGGGTGTCCCGAAACCAAAAAGACAAAGAAAACCAAAAGAACGGGATAAATTACCTTTAACAAAAGAAATCGTAGAAGATGATATCAGTTCAAATGATGAGTCGACAACACATAGTAATACTACACTTAGCAGTACATCAGTAGTCAATAAGAAAATCATTAAACCCCTGATTAAAAAAGAAGAAAAGGATGAAGAGGCCGGCAATAAAAGTAATGCAGAGAAGAAGAAGAAAAAGAAGGAAAAGAAAAAAGACAAGAAAGTGTCGGGGCCGATGTATTTTTCAACTAATGAACCAATTGCTCTTAACGTACTAGGAGATTTAGATCCTGCGATATTCAATGAGTGTAAGGAAAAAATGAGACCTGTAAAGAAAGCTTTGAAGGCTCTTGACAATCCCGATCAGTCTTTTTCAGAATCGGAGCAAGTTCAACATACAAGAGAATGTCTCTTACAAATAGGAGAACAAATTACTAGTTGTCTTGATCAGTATTCAGATCCTGAGAAAATTAAAGAATGGAGAAGGTATGTTGATTAAATTTCCATAAATATGTTTATAATTTTTTTTTTTTTTTTTTCAGCAATTTGTGGTACTTTGTTTCGAAATTTACTGAATATGACGCAAAGAAGTTGTATAAATTGTATAAAAAAGCTTGCAAGAAATCGGAAAAATCTGAAAAGAAAGAGAAAGACAAAGATGTAAGTTCTCTTTAAAGTGGAAAATTCGGTGTTTTTTAACTCGTTTCTTTTTTTTTTTTAGGACGGTGCGTCAACTAGTAAAGAAAAATCTAAACATGTTTCTAAAGACAACAACAACAAAGATGGTAACAAAGAACATGTTAAAAGAAAACATGAAGGCGAATCAGAGAAGGAAGAGTCGAAAAAGCATCATGGTGAAAAGTAAGTACATATACAATAAAACGAAACCAACATATTAGTTTTTTTATAATTGATAGGAAGGAAAGAAAGCAGAAATACCCTGAAAAGGAAAAAGAACGAAAACGAACACGGGATGAAACTACTCCGGAGGAGGAAAGCGATTTTCGATTTAATCGGCATAGGAAACCTGGAGGTTCTCAAAAACTCTTTAGGCACGATCAGCATCCTCATATAGACCATGATAGGTGGCTTGGCAATCAACAAAGAGAAAGATTCCCCGTAGACCACAAACGACCCTTTGATTTCCAACGACCGTCGAATTACCATAGAGAAAGGGATTACCCGAGACCTCCTGATAAAAGGTAATACGTTTATAAATTTTTTTAAACAATACTTAGTTTTTAATAAAATAATTATATATAACGTTCATTCACAAAAGTTGTATGCTTCTTTTGCTGTGCTCGTACAGCTGCTGGAATGACCTGGAGTACTACTCTTTCTTTAAAACGTTCTCCCTTCAAATTCATTATGGATAGTCCCGGGCGAGAATCGGACAAAGAAATTAACATCATTTTGATTTTCGACTTTGTAATTTTTCATGTGTGTCTGCCTGTTCAACAAAATTGCGTGAAGTTTTCACTCGTCAAAACAAAATTTGATTGCGCCACGCTGCTCCATCATGAAAATTGGGACTCGGCGACAAAAACACATCTATTTCAAACGGACACAGCTGGCCAGTAAATGAAGTTGCACCACTGAAATCTTAACTGTGGGTAACTCAGGAATGATGATACTACATAGTTTGGCCGTTGGACGATAGTGCTAGTTGTAAATTTTATACAAAATTAGTTCCGGAACTTTTTGAATAAACTGTATATTATGAATTATAGATCTCCAGATGGCAAGGGGGATTGGAGGCAGCAGTACCAGCGGAGAGATATTTTATCCGGAGGAAGGCCCCACCCGTACTACCCTCCAAACTTTGTTCCGCCTATGTACCCACCAGAGCAGTATAGAGATCGGTTTCCAGCTGGTGACTGGCGACCTCCAGATAGAGACTATAGATATGACCGTCGTCAACAATAAATTATAAATATTTACTTAAAATATGACTAATTTGTACATGTTGAAATGTACCTCATTTTTGTATTATAGATAGTACTCATGGAACCTTTTTTGAGAAGTTATTGAGAACCAGTTTAAAGTGTAATTTATAATTTAATGATTTCGGTCGTCTTTCTCAATAATTTTTCAGAATTTTTGCATTTTTTGATTACCAAATGTTTTATATTGATTTGTTTTGATTGTATATTTTTAATTGTTTATAAAGGAGGCTGTGTTATGTCGACATTCATATATATCTATATATTATATATATGCAGGCCTACCAACACAGTGTATATGATTGGTGTACATACAGATAGATAAATATGTTTTGATATTATTTGTTTCAACTGTTTTCGACGATTAAACCCTTCACCTCTTTCACCTTAATTGTTTTATGTCCTACCCTTTTTCCTTCATCATAATTGTCTTTTTTTTAAATGAAAGGTATAAATATAATTTTTTCAATATAATTTATTACGTACATGTATACAACTAAAATTAATTATTTTTAATAGTCTGGAAGTCATATTTAAAATATAATTACTCTTCCATGTCAATAAAATTACAACTTGTGTAAATCAACAAAGCGAGAAGCAAGCATAAAATTGTAGCATTTGAAATCGAAAGTTTACAGAACAAAAAAATTTGTACTTGTACTAATACACAAAATATATTTATTAAACGCTATAGAAAATAAATATTTCTGTGGGCAAGATAATGATTAATATTTCATGAAAAATGTATCATATTTAAAGCAAAATTCCTGAATAATCACCACCTTATCCACTGTAACGGATGGAGTAATACAAAAACTGATATTCATTCAAATATTCCTTGGTATCTTATTCCTCAAGACTAACGCACTTTCAGCCGAGATTATAGGGAGAGCATTATCGTAATGGAATTGAATGAGATGACTGACGCTATTAAACATCCTATCCTTCGTTCGTACCTAAACCAACAAAAAAAACCACTTAAAAATTGAAAATTAAATACTAATACACTTACCACTCCTTCAGGGTCAATAAGCAGCAAATGTTTCTTATTACTGTCTTGCATTCCGGAAAGGACAAACTGACGTTCAACGGTATTTGTCGACTCTCGAACTAGGAAATCTCCGTCTTTCTGTAACAGGCTCTCCGCTTCAGCTCTACTTATCCTACCGTGAAACCAAATTTCATTTTCGAGCTCTGCGATCGGATCGTTATCACTTTTTCCATAAGCAGGTGTTAAAGACGTGTGCTGGTTGAAGGGCTCTAAAAATAAGATAGACTGTGTATTTTCTTATACAACGGTTTAAAAAATACTTACGCATATCAAAGACATCCCTTGGGATCACAACACTGTCGTTAACATAATCATGATGAGGCCCATCGTGCGCGAGTATATCTGAACTAAGATCTATTAAATTTGGGGTCTGTACAGGTGGTAATGTTGTGAAAGGTGGTACTGAAGATGGCAACGGAGGTACTGGAGGTGGCTCGCACACATCTGGTGGTACTTTCCCAGGTAAATCATTGTAGTAGTCTTTATCAGCATCGCCTCCCGTTGATGTCGATGGATGACCCATCGCTATCCCCAAACTGCTACAATAACAATTGCAAGTACCAGCATAAACTTAAAAAATGCATATTACTCACACTATCGGTGACTTATTCGTAAATTGTTGAAATCTCAGTTCAAATGCTTGCCCTATTGTCGAGATTACATCTTTTGCTAAACCTCCACCGCATTCCAAAACATAACATGCTCTTAAATCATTTGCATCTTTTGCTATGTACCCTACGAAGTCTAATGTGTCCTGAAGAATATTAAAAAATTAATAAAACCTTTATAAATGATTTATAACTTACGCTATCTCCTCCTGATGCAAATGATATCCTAGGCATTTCATGTGTGGCGATAATTTGATTAGTATCTAATGATGTCAATGACAAGTTAACACTGGAGACGTTCAAGTTAACATTTGTACCGGCATATTTTAAATTTGGAGTATCTGCAATTGCTTTTAGTACCTTCTTGTCTACTTTACGCTTTTTATCCACAGTTTTTAGTCTCGATGTTTCACATACTCTATTAATGCATTCTCTAAAATAAAATAGTGTTGTAATTGAATAATTGAGAATTAATTTATATTTTTTATTACAACTTACTTTGCTACATTCGATCTAGTTTTAAAATCCAGCGTTTTCATGGATACTTTAACTTCCAAACATCCCACATACTATAAAATAGTAATAACAACAGAACACTATTGTTTGCATTTCATCGAGACTTGTTAACCTTACCCGTACAGCATATGTCGCTCCCTGTTTGGCAATGAGTTTATCGGAATGAATCCAACCACTTGATGGTTTAATGTTAAATGCAGACATTTTCGACAATTTCCAAAAATTGTTAACACGGGTGTATACACCTGTTAGTTAAGTTTATTAATCATGTTAACACATTTATGGGGAATTAAACCGTCAATTATGTTTCTTCATAATATATATCACATTACTTGGGTACTATGGCAACTGAGTCATATTTTTCTGAGTATCTGTGGATTTTTTATCACATTAAAGGCTAATCTTTAAACAAAATCTATACCACAAAATATAATCTATACTTTATTAAATAAATGACAAGTCAACTTCCAGAATGAAGCAACAAGCAACGGAAAAAGAGAAAACACAGAGCCTCTATAGGGCACACAACATAACGTTAGGTACCAGTGATCACGAGAACGCCATAATTTTCTATTTCTCTCACTCTCTTATGTATGAGTTAAACAAGAAAAATTAAGTTCGAATTATTTGCATCTCTTTCTACAACAAAAAATATTCTAAAATATATAATAATTCAAGATTATTTTTGATAATGACAGAAAACGTTGGGAAATAGCTATAAATATGATTTATTTATACCTTTGTTCAATAGATGTCGGGATATAACAAACTTCTTACTTTTTAGTTCGGTAATCCACTCAGTGGCGTATCTTCTTATTTTAAATTAAATATTATTAATTATTATTTAATGATATTTAATATTTAATCAATGTAANGATGAATTCGGGATTATACGTGATATTATGCAAAACCATTTGCTGCAAATTCTAACACTTGTTGCGATGGAGAAACCTGCTACTTGCCAACCAGATGATATTAGAGATGAGAAAGTAAAAGTCCTGAAAAGCATTAAGGTGCTGGAATTAAAAGATGTCGTTTTGGGACAATACGTTGGCAATACTGAGGGAGAGGGTGAAGCTAAACTTAACTCCAAAAGAATTATTTCAAATCTCATTCCTTGTTTAATAACATACATATACACGAATTACATAGGTATTAACCCAGATAATACAAAGACGTACCTTTTCATTACATGTATGGGACCAATGAATTATTACATTTCAATACCTGTTGTCCTTATATGTTGCTAGTATAAGAGAAGGCTACTACCATTTTCGACGTTTTCAGAACATTTCTCGTACAACTTTTTTAGACATTTTTTATTTTTTGTGTCGTATACAGTGTGATTTAAATTACTGCTATTATCACAACTTCAGTATTAATGGAAAAAATAAAAATCAAATTTCACAAATTTTCTATTGGTTAATAAGCACGTTTAATATTGAATACCTCTTAATATACTTATTGTATTACAAATACTTACTTTAGAAAAGTACGTTTTAAAAAAACTTAGACCTTAAAATGTTTTCCTTTAATTACGAGAAAATAATTCTCATGAAATTACCTAGATATATCCTATATTTAATTATTAGGCAAGGTTGAGGCTGTTTAATGTATTTCCTCCTAGCTGGCTTATTCACTCATGTGTATTTGAACCAGTCATTAATGAGATAATTTATTAATGCATATACATATATTTATTTGTCTTTTTTTTAATAGGTACATAGTTTGTAATCGTACATACATTTTTTCTTTTATAGAAATATAGGCAAAATCTACGCCACTGATTAGATAACTGTTGCATAATTATTTTGCTCTCCCTATAGATTCGTAAACCATTTATTAATTGAAATATATTAGAATTTGCCAGTCAGCCTTAGCGCCTCTTAAAATTTTGCACACCAAATGACATTTAGAAACAAAATGAGCATTACGTATGTATACATATCTCTCTCCAACGTGCAATTTCGATGACGTATAGATTACCTGTCTTTAATTGATGATTTGAACCTTTTTGCACCGTCAGTTGTTACATTTTTGAAATGTGATGCTTGAATCTCTAGATCTTAGATCAAGAAATTTTTAGTGCATATTATCATTAGTATCTGGTAATTTCTTATTAAATATCGCATTTTATTCAATAATTAACCATTAAAATGAGCATTTCCGAACAGAAACCAAGTAAGTACGCAATATTTATTAGTTAATTTAAGCTTTTTATGTATTCTCTGACTTGCAACTTATACAAATTAAATTTGGCGTACACTTTTTGACTAAATCGCGGTGAGGTAGGTAACTATACAGGCAATACACAGGTTGTGCAACTTTTTACAAATGAATATTTTAAATAATACATATATA